CATCTCCATAGACCTATAAACATATTAAAAAATATATTTGAAAATATGTTTCTAACAGAACAATATAAATGATTTAACTGACGCGATCATGTGAGGCCCATACTTTTAGAACAGGAGATGAGAAAAGAAGACTGATTTCCATGCAAAAAAATAAAATTTCAATAACAACAGGCAAACATCACAGGAAACTGTCTTATAGCTTGTTGTGACTCAAGAATGGGCATTACATCCAAGGAGCAAAAATTAATTTTAATTGACTTTTTTTGGTAAACCATTCAGCTTTTTCGAGTATTGCCTAATATCCATCATCACAGGACGTTCAAAATATTTTTTAGATTTATTAGCGACGAAGTCGAGAGTTTTGGATTTTTTAAAAATTTTTGCTCAAATTTAGGTATAAATTTATAAAAAATAGAAGCATTAATAGGATGCTAAATATTAATCACTAATTTCGTTTTAAAATTTAGTATGTATTTAGTATGAATTTAAATATGTGATTATGATTTCTTTTGATGGTGTTTTGGTTAGGTTTTTTTGAAAGATTTCCGTGGCCATTATTATTCTAATATATCGCGCTTCAATAAGAGTTTTAATTAATATTTTTTAAAATAATTTTGCCTTTAAGAACCTGCGCCTTGACTTTTGGCTTGTCACAAATAGGAATATTAATAGGATGCTAAATACTAATTAATAATTTCATTTTAGAATTTAGTATGTATTTAGTATGAATTTGAATATGCGAATATGATTTTTTTTGGTGGTGTTTTGGTTCGGATTTTTTGATTGATTTCCGTAGACACTACTATTCCAATAAGTCGCATTTTAATAAAAGTGTACTCATTAAACTTTTCTATAATGCGTTTTAGAATTTAGTATGTATTTAGTATTAATTTGAAGTAGAATTTTTTGACAGTTTTTTGTGGCCACTATTATTCTAATATATCGCGCTTCAATAAGAGTGTATTATTTATTAATGCAGTTGAGAACCCCGCATAACAATATTAAAAACTATACAAAAAATAGTAAATATACTATTATATTTTAATTACAATATAATTAAAAAGCAAATAACTTTAAACGCCAGTGAATCACAACATTTATTGACATTAACACAATTACTTAAAAAACAATACACAGTAGTGAACAATGTTTCTAAACTTGTTTACTTTAAAATTTACTCAACTGTGTTGAGGCAAAAAACAAAAAGGAATATTTTTAAAATAAAATCATTAAAGAAATATAAAAATTAAATTGGTTTAAAAAATTAAGAATATTTCGCAAATAAACACATTCATTTAATTGAGTAATAAATATCACAAAACTCCATTTGTTGTTAAGGTAAATATTCGTACGTTACCCAACACATGCAAATTGCAAAAATATAATAAATAAAAGATATAACCGACTATGTAAATAAATTAAGTATCTGAAGTATTTGAAATTGCCATTGTGTGTGTTGGTGTATAAAAGTCAATAACAAAACTGTACTAGGCAAGACGGCATTATTTACGTTTTAATTTGCAATTGAGAATTAGAATTTCAAATATTTTAATTTAACACAAATTTAATTTCATCTTAAAACGTTAACAACGTTAACAGATGCGAAGCGAGCCAGGCCTGTGTGTTGTGACTGAGAACAGATAAAAATTAGCCAAGCACACAGTAAAAAAAATTTAAATAAAAATTTTGTTTCAGAAATTTAAACATAAAAACTTAACACTGGTTGCGCATAGATAATAAAAAATAAGACTTGAAAAAAAAATATAATAATAAATTAATAAAAAAAATAAACTAAAATTAGAACAGAAATGAAATAAAGCTTAAGTAAACAAATTAAGAATAAAACAAAAACAACAACAAAAAAACAAAAAAATACAATTAATGCGAAAACATAAAACAAGGCAGTGGCATTTAAGTTTTATATTCTGCGTCTATTGCGCAAATTGCATTCCTTTTTAAAGTGTACGAGTGTTTCTGTTTTGCTGGTAGTCTAATAAAAATAAAATGGGTAAAAAAAAATCTAAGTGAAAATGTATGCAAACGACTCGGTAATTGTGTGAGCTACGCTTAGCGCTCAGCCAATCAGCATTTTGCATAACGTGCACACCGTGCATGTGTGTGTAAGAGAATTTTTAATTGGCCGTAATGCTTTGCAATGCACTTAACAAGTCTGTCTGTCCGCACTAAGCAATTCGAAAACAATCTCATTTCCGGTCATTTGGCGATAACCGAAAGTGTGTGCTGGCTTTTAAATTGCAGTGCACCACAGATTTTTAATAGATTTTTATTATAGATTTTATTACAGTAAATAAAATATTTCTGAAATTGGGATAAATTAAAAACCATAAAATGATTAAAGTTGAAAAACAGATAAACAAAAAAACATAGAACATTGAGTTGAAAAATTGAGGCTTGAAAAACATAGACCAAAGAGTTTAATTAAAGATATTAAAGAACTAAGATTTAAAAGACCTTAATCATTGAGCTAAAAAAACTAACATTCAAAAGGAATAGAACTTTGAGCTAAAGAACTAAGACTTAAAAGATATAGATCACATATCTCAGTTATATAAGTTATATATATGACCATATGTAAGGTATATATGTAGACCATGTAAGTCTTAGTTAAAAACTAAGCCCTAAAAGGCTGAAGAACTAAGATTTAAATAATATAGAATATTTAAGAGATAATATTATCATTCTTGTACAGCTGTACATATCATATTTAATCTGTTTTACCATAAAAGCTATTTTTAAAAAATTGGACTAAGCATTTGATTTAAACTACTTCAAGAAGTTGGAAAATCGTTAAATAAAATACACCTATTTTCTATTTCCGAAGTAAATGGTTAAAAGAATAGAGGTGTACAATCTCAAAGAGTATTTAAATGGTGAGTTCGGCTAATTGTATTATTCGTACTGCTTTAACATAGAAACAGATTTTTAAGAGTTCAACTATAATATTATTTAAACAATATTATACGATCGATGTTAACATAGAGACTGATTTCAAAGAGTTGGACTAATTATATTATTCGAAATACTTTAGGAAGCTGGAGAATCGTTATATGAAGTGTGAGTATTTTTTATTTCCGAAGTAGATGGTTCAGTGAGAAGACCTTTACAACCAGTCAGTTAATCTAAATGCCAACATAAAGGCTGATTTCAAATTATTGGAATAATTATATTATTATATTATTCCAATTGCTTAAACATATGGTAGTGTTTGATTTTAAATAGTTAGACTAATCATGTAATTCGAATTGTTTTAAAAAGTTGGAGAATTATTGGGTGAAATATGCAGCTGTATGCTAATTCGGAAGTTATTTATTGAAACACAAAAGATTTATAACTAGGGAGTGTATTTAAATGACGACACAGTGGTGGATTTTGAAGGTGTTCGAATAATTGTATTATTCGAATTACTTTAATACAGTGGACGATTTTTAAAATTTGACTAATCGTATTATTCGAATTGTCTTATGAAATTCAAAAATCTTAGAACATCTTACTATATTCTATTAACAATTTACTTCGTTGTAAAAGATTAAATATACATTTTAATACAAAAAATTTTTCAATTATTATTTAAATGATAAGAACTTTCAAACTTAAGTAATAAAGTGAAGGGCAATTAAACTCAGTAATAAATGCGTTCTTTTATTAAATCTTACTAAAAATTTAAATAAATCATATGCAATAAATTAAATATATATCAAATTGTTAATAAAAAAATAAAAATTTAATTTATGGTAATAAAATGAACATAATTTTAAGTTTAATAATCATTTTACTAGTATTAGTACTAAATTTGTATTATGAAATAACAGTCCGGTCAACAGAATAACCTCTTTAAATTGAAAATGAATGTAATAAATTATAATATTTATATAGAAAAAAAGTAACTAAATCATTTTTTATATTTTTAATTTAAATTAAAATTTAAAAAATTATTTCAATAAATCTTTAATAATTTGCAAAGTGCAAGGAACTTGTGTGAAGTGATTTCAAGTCACGGCTTTTAAATCGAGTAAATATAATATTTTATACCATACAGTAGCACTTATTATCGTTTGAGACTGTGTAGGCAAAAAATAAAAAAAAAAAGCAAAAATCAGATATTTTACACAGTTTAATTATTAAAAACTACAAAAAAAAAAAATAAAAATAAATTTTATTAATGACACATTTTGAACTACAACATTTGCACTGAGACAAAGAATAAATGCAGTCAATTTGGCGTATGCAGACTCAGCGCAAGCAAACATTGGAAAAGGTCCTGCACAACTCAGTGGAGTTGCAGCGTAATTCCAGAAACGGAAATTGAGATATTTTTTATAAATTATGAGCTGCACATGTCCACATTTAAAAGCATACCAAAAAGGTTATGGCTCCTAAAACAAGAGCAACCGAGACTGAACCGTGGTGCAACCACAAACCATGTACCAAGTGCGATTTGTGCAATGTGGAGCATTGAATGTGCATTGTACGCAGATGCAGCATAGACGACTTTGCTGCCATAGATAAGTAAGTTTTTCCATTATCTTATGTGAATAGTAATCAGTTTTCTTGTTATAAGTTAGGGTTTTTTTTTTAATTTGCAATTAAGCTTGATTAGGTTTAATCGTTTTTTGATATTTATGAGTTTTCATTATCATTAAATTCATTGACTGCAAACTGTGTGCATATTAAAGCAGGCAATTCGCTACTGTGGCAGTTTGAATGTTGCAGCAACAACAGTGGCTCCGGCTCTGACTCTGACTCTGTCTCTGTTGCCGGCATGTTGCACATTTTTATTAATGGCTTAAATACCAACCGCCATCACATTTGCAACATACGCAAACTGGGGTGGCACAGCAACATATTGTTGCATATTGTTGCTAACATGAGGCGAAGAACTTAAGAACTGCACTGAACGAAACTAAACTGAACTGAACTGAATTTTGTGGAAAATACAACGGCCAGTTACTCAATTAAAAAAGGCTGAACAAGCGTTGTACCTTTTCGCGATTGTTATTTGGTTGTTTGGTTGTTTGGTTGTTTGGTTGTTTGGAGTTTGCTTGGGTGTCGTCGTAGCAATGTGTCGCCAGTTGTAGTACCGCCTAAGGCAATTTGTGTAAAAGTTAATTGGATGTTACAAATCACTGGCAGCAGCATTAAAGCATAATGTGCAATGCTTTGCTGCTTGCTATACAGCACAACATCAACATACAACGTACTGTGAGTTAGTAGTGAGCATGAGCAATGTTTGGTGGCACTTACCTTGGCAGAGCTTTCCAAAGGATTCCAATAAACGGCAATGGCATTATGCGATACTTCCTCTATACAACCAACTAAGCCAACTGAATTTTTCGTATCTGAAAATAGCAAAAGAAATATGAAATGTAAATTGACAATAATGACTGTAATAAAAAATACAAAAAGCAATAATACAATAACAATAAAAAGTGAAAATTATTAGTCGAACAAAAAACAAAAAAAAAACAAAAATAGAAGAAATGCAAAATTTTGCCATTTGTCACTTGGACTTGGCGGTAATATTGCTATATCAAAGTACACTGAAACCATTGCGAAACAGCAACTTATGAGCATAGTGGCAATAGTGTTGGAGCTGGCGATGGCGATGGTGATGGTTACGGCAACAGCGACGTTGGCGGCATATCAAATTCAACTTTGCATTTTTCCAATTAGCAAAATTGCTCAGTTGATTGTGTGATTGTTGATTGTGTATCTGATAGATAAACCAATTTGAAACATTACGATTTAAGTGTAACTAACGCATGTAATCATCTCTGTGTACCATTCGATACGTTACAATTGCGATATGCGATATACGATATACGATATGAAACCGATTTAACGATACAACGTTACAACAATATGCGCTTGTCTTAAGCCAAGCTTATCAGCAATGAAATCAGTTGTTGCCATGTTAAAAATTCAATAAAATTACAAAATTTACAGCAAAAAGGCGTTGGACATACAGCGTCTGCCGTCTATGTTTTCCACCACAAAAGCTGTTACAAAAATGTGCTATGCTTAAATAATATCGATACACTGCAGTACAAACCAATTGATAAGCATCAGCGACTTTGACACGCCACCATTTCACCAGATACAAAATCCAAAAAAAAAAAATATAAACAATATAAAGTTAACAAAAAAAAACCTAAGAAGCAACATAAAAATGTGCTTAAATCTTTGCAGGCTTCATTGCAGGCAAGAGATAAGAGCAGACAAATGGAACAAACTGATCACTCAAAAGTATGCAAAATGCATGCTTGCAATTTTTCGACTTTGGCAACACCAACACAGCTAGATAGATACAGCAGCAATAACTACAACAGCAACAACAACAGGCATACCGAACAACAGTTGTCTGCAATAAGGCAATGCCAAATGCAAAATTGTTAAACTATTGCTGCACTAATTTTTTGGCTGTGTAGGCGCGCTCTAAGCTTTACTGTCAAAAATTTTTAATAAATAAAATTCAAGAAATGACAAAAAATATATAAATAAAAAAGTATATTCAAAATGTATCTTGTAACTTTTATTGCTTGTTTGTGTTACCAAATTCAATAACGTCTCAAATTACTACACGCCGTGACTCTGCTGCTCGCATTATAGATAGATAGTTCAGTTCGAAATGTTAACTAACAACGTTCGGCTTTTATTTCATATACATTTTTTCCAATTTTTTTTTTTTTTTCATATTTTTTATTAAAAACAATGTAAACGTATCGTAAGATACAAGCGCCGTTCATGGCACAGCGGGGAGGCTTTAAAGTGCATTTCATAATTTCATATGAATTTGTATGCATATTTAATATTTTTGAAAAAATATTTTTCTCTTAGCTAAATTTGAATATTCGGTCTTTTTGTTTAGGCCGTAATTTGTGGCATTTTATGACATTGTCTCTGTGAGTTTAGCCGCGGCACTGCTGCGACATTCATTATCACAGACAATTTACGTTGCTAATTAACTTACCCGCATCCAAAATCCTTTGCTTAACAGAATGTTGCCGACTATGCCAGAATTGCCATGCCTTGATTTCATCATCAGGACTTTTCTCTTCACGAAACATTAACATAATGACACTCTGCAATATAAAAAAAAAGAACAAAAAAAAAATGATTTCATTAAAAATTATAATGATAATGACTATGATAAACATATGTGTTATTGAAAATATACCAAAAATATACCAAAAATATAAAAATTTTTAAAAATAAATAATTAATAATTAACACTAAATTAATAATACTAATAATATTAATTTAATTAATGCTATTCACTGTTACCAAAAACAAATGCTAATAATAATAATTAAGATTTTTGTATAAATAGCATCTGTTGCTTTCTGGAGATGTCAATGATTGCATTCGATTGCTATCTTGGAAAATGTAGATTTTTTCAGTTTTTTGTATCATAAAATGTTGAAATTAATGTTAATTGAAGAATATAATAAAAATCATTTTTTTGAAGGATTTTTTTGTTTAACAGAAATAAATCACAAACTCACTGACGTCTATAGTTTATATTTCATATGTGAAAAATCGTGATAGCATTGACATTAAAACACTTCTCATTAAATTAAAATATAAATTTATATAAAAAAATACCTATAATAATATAAAAAGTTTAGTCCAAAAAAAAAATGAAAATCTAAGATTATTTTAGCTCACGAGAAAAATCTACTTTACTTGAAAACTCCAGAAAACCATACGATAGTTACCTGCTTAGAACTGATATTTATTATAAATATTTTAAAATACCATACTTTATAAATCTTCGTAGAGTTTCAGATAAAAAAGAGTTAATTAAATACACTCCATAAATAGTAATTATTTCCTTGGTGATAAAGTTATGTCGCACGCAAATTCTGATCCAAATAGTACACGTTGTATATCAGAGCATTAATAAGAGGAATTAGGTCAGTATGGCAAAGATGTTATTAGCAAAGACCCTATCAGCAAAGACCCTATCAGTAAAGACCCTATCAACAAAGACCCTAGTTACGGCCTTATTAATAGAGACACTATTAGCAAAGACCCTAACAACGGCCATAATAATAGAGGTACTATTAGCAAAGACGCTACTAGTAAAACCGCTATTAATAAAGACTCTACTAGTAAAACCTCTATTAACAAATACCCTCTAGTGAATAGCAAAGGCCTAATATTCAAACGTTCAATTAGCAGAGACACTATTAGCAAAATCCTTATTAGCATATGCTGTGTTAGCAAAGATCCTATTAGTAGCGATACTATTAGCAAAATCCCCATTAGCAAAGGCACTGTCAACTAGAATTCTATTAGTAAAAGTTCCATAAGCTAAGACCCTAAGAACAAAGACCCTATTAGTAATAGCCCTATTACTTAAGATCATATTAATAAAGGTGCTACGACAAAGAGCTATATTAGCAAATATTTTACTAGCAAAGGGTCTATTAATAAAAACCCTATTAGCAAAGGCACTATTAGCAAGGCTCCAATTAGAGAAGACCATATTAGAAAAGACCCTATTAATAGGGGCGCCATTAGGAAAAGCGCTATTAGTTAAGATCCTATTAATAAGGATCCTATTACAAAGAGCTATATTCGCAAAGGCCTTACTAGCAAAAGCCCTATTAGCAAAGTTCCTGTTAGCAAAGGCCCTATTAGTTATAAACCTATCAGCAAAGGTCCTGTTAGCAAAAGCCCTATTATGTTAGCAAAAGTCCCGTTAGCAAAGGCCTTATTGTGAAATTGTTATTTCTTTGCTATTCGTTAGTCATAGGGCTGTGGTTAAGCCTATTACTTTACTTACTTAATAAAGGCCAAAATATGAATTAAGTCAGATACTCTTTCTAATTTGTATTAGAAAGAGTACACGCAACGTGTAAGAGTACACGCAACCTTTAATAAGGATACTATTCTACCAATAATGTTTCTAACTGGTACCGTTACGAACTGGAATTCTATGTGCTGTGACTTGATACCAACCAGTTTAATTTTCTTACTCAATATGTATTACTATAGATAACTTTATTACAATAACTTATTAAAATATCAGAATTATAGAAAGACGCAGTACAATGTATAGATTTACTGTATATAAGGGGCTCTACTGTCCCTTCTGATAATAATAAAAAACTGAATACTGAAAAATCTTATGTACTACTCAAGTTTTCTTACAATTTTCTATTTATAATATCTATTATTATAAAATTTTATATGAACATCAAAATATGAACTAAATTATTCAAATTTCATAAACTCCAAAATTAGTTTTGACACAAGACGTCAATGGCAGCTATTGTTGAGGCCACAACATGCACAGTTTCTGGCCCAACGCCTTTATGTGCACAGACACAATATGCAAGAGCATCCTTTGAAAAGTGAAGTAGTGAAGTAGTGCTGAAGATCTAACTGATGTCTCTCACTTGCAATATTTAGAACAATATTCGTATCTCAAACTTTATGGTTTTCAGTAGAAAAATTTACATATTTATTTTGTTAGCATATTAAATGAATTCAAAAAAGAAAAGATCCACACGAAAAATCCACCCTTTGAAGTTGTCGTCTAGCTGCGCTGCAGAGTACGAATTCAGTGAAGATTTCGTTGGGTTTGAAAATTTGCTACGGCAGCGAGTTAAAAGATACACGTCTTGATAACGTCGTAAATTATTTTAAGAAAAAAATTGACATGAATTCTAAAATTTACTCTTATTTTTTTCTAAGAAAGTTTTTATTCTTGCTTTTCATTTTTATTTTTGAAATTTTTAATTCATTCATATACATTTTACACGTGTATCTTTGTTTGAGTTCAGCGATGTGATCTTAGAACAGAGTCGCATCGTTTACACCCTGAAAGGGCGCATTAGGAAAACAAACATAAATTTATTCTGACACTTTTGCTCGGAGTGTTGTGCTTCTGCACTTTTAATAAATTTATTAGAATTTTATGCAAATATAATTAAGATTATGCCAGCTAACGGTAGCGAAGAAATGCAACATAAATGCATAAACGCATAAATATGCAGACACCTTTTCTCTTCTAAGTATAATAAGATATGTTTACTATGATATTGATTACAGCTGATCGCATTATTTGCATAAAAATGTATATGCATATCTAGTGATGATTAGTCTTTTAATGCACATGAATGCAATTATAAAAGGACGAATGCAGTATGGGCTCAATGTATAAAAAAGGAAAGAATAAGGAGCACAAAGATCACTTTGAAGTTACTGATATCGAAAGATTTTCTTTTATATTAATAGGTAATATTGTTTATTCTAAAACCACGTTTGTTAGAAGTTAATGCATTAATAGGAAGAAATTATTTAAGTAATTCAATATCTTTAGTAAATTCAACTTTTAAGCAAAGATTTTAAAACAATATAATTTTGATTGTTAATGCTATAAACCTTAAATACTTTAGTAATTATAATCGAACTAATGTTCACATTTAGCTTCTTTACGAGTATTGTACTTAACACGATAGAAATGCAGCAATATATGTCATTTTTAATACAAAATCCATACAAAATCTGCTAAATAGATTCTTTAAGGCTAAGCGTAAACATATCATAATATTACAATATGCTTCGAAGATATCATAAAGCGTTTGAAATCTTTATCATTTATTTCTCCCTTTTAGAAAATAAATAAACTATATACACAATATTACACCCAGTAACTTGCATACACTTTTTTTCGTACTAAAAGGCATAGCAGTTACATTTTGTTACAAATATTTCATTTATATGAAGAAGGAACTTATAAAGGACTTGATACATTTATAGTAAATGAAGGTTTACAGTGAGAAATAGTTTTATAAGGACAATTGGAGAAGAAAGTTATTAAGGACTTCATAATTTATAGTAACTACAGGTTTATGATGACTAATAATTTTATTAATTCCATCAAAAATTTAAATTTATTCAGAATTTTTTGATAGAAGATTATATAGACACCGATAAGTCAGATAAGTTATAATACGTTCAAAGGGTCTATGCCTCGCACAGAATTAGAACTACGAAAACGAAATTTTGAAGTTTGCCTGTGACAGTATATAATATTCAAAAATTTGCCTCAGTGGCAGCTTAAAGAGTTAAGTTATGTGAACTTTTATTATGAGGAATCTCACATCTTCAAAAAGTTAAGTGTCCCCAACTTTTATTATAGGGAATCTCGAGTGAACTTTGTAAGAGCCGAAAGGTGTTAATAAGTTATTCTTTTACAGAGCCACATGATTTCATTGTATCTTTATGCCTAGTGTCTTATTATTATCAATGATAAACTCATCAATTTAAGGTACTTGTTAGTTCAGGTAGCGACAATTATTCCTCTTCTATCCAAGTAGCGCATAAGAGCTATTTTGAAAAGAATTTTGATGAATTCTAAAAGCCAATTAACGCGGTTGATATAAAAGATGATTTTTTGGAATATACGACAGACAAATTGGTTTGTAGACTTTCATAGTGGTCATAATCATGCCAGACCTAGACATTTTTGTCAAAGTATTTAACGATCATTTTGTTCGTAAAGGACGTGAAACAGAACCACTTATTCTAATATCACTTATCTTTCAAAGTGCTAGTTTATGATATACTAAATATTATAAGCTCATATCCATACTACTATACGAAAGAAGTTTGTTAGGTTATCTCCAAGAAGTTCTGCAAAAACCTCCATATAAATCTTCAAAACCATCAAATCAGTATTTCTAAAAAAAAATTTAAATAAAGATTTATGTGTTTATAAATCTTTTAGATAAAAACTATGTTTTATTTAAATAAATTATTGAAGTATGACATAAATAACATGAAACCCTTTCACTTTCTTTCAATTATTCATACTTTTTTCCATGTGAAATTTTTTAGGGATATATCAATACTACAAAGTATTTTTAAGGCAAAAAACTGTAAATCATTATTTTGCACTTAAATTCACACGTGAGACTTTTAAGGATATTAAGGTTACAACGCAACCTTGTACTTCCATTACAATTTAAAGTGGAACTGTATCTCTTTCAATTGAAGATGCTTTCATTTCTACTATTGAAGTGTGCTTTCGGTATATGAAAGGAAGAAGGAATAAAGTGGAAGTTTTTTTTTTTGCATATCCTTTCAGCACATTGTAATCATTTGAAATTTGAATATTATTTCAATGCTTAGTTTAAGTATTTTCCTGATATATCAACAATGATGATCTTATCTGATCATTTTACACACAAGTTGAACTGCTGAAAAATGTCCTGAGTAAATAGAGACTGGCAAAGGATCTTGTGGAAAGCTGCGCAATTGAAATACAAAATTTACATTTAAACGAATACAAATGCAAATATAAAAAGACATAATACAAATCATCTATCATCATCAGCTTGTTGATGATGCTCATTGCCAACATTACTGATCGTCATGAACATCATGATCGTCATGATCGTGTCTACCGTGTCTTCGTAGTTTTTGTTATTTTTATTGAATATTTGATTTACTTATGCGATGTAAGTCGTTTTGACGTTGACGAGCGCACAATCATTCCGAGAGGGTGACTCAAATTGCAATCATTCATTCCATCACTCTTGGCAACATATAAATGCCAAACATTGTTAGTATCACACATGCAAATGAGCCGTAAATGGAAAAAATATCACTACAGTAACTAACCCAACGAAGGAAGTAGACAAGAATAGTCTACTTCCATTCATTTTTTAGTTTTGTTCCCGAAAACATAGAGCATGACAAATGGCTTAAGGATATGTGCCTTTGATGCCAAAAAGGTTTTTAAAAAAATATTTGTTTAAGGATATAAGTGAACTAAATAAAATCACGAAATGGAAAGGGTTTACTGTATATTATCTGAAGGAAATGGGTAGGCAACGGTATGTTTGTAATATAAGTCACAGGATTTAGTTTTATTTTTTTGAAGGACATTTTTTAGGAATTAAAGGAACTGACAAATGCGGCGCAAAAATAATTATTAAAAGTAAAGCAATTAATCATATTTAAACTATTTACAATGGGGTCAGTTTGTTCGCATAAGATTTTAATATATGCAAAATTTATTTTAAGAAATTAAGTTAGAAAATTTAGTTTTTTTTTTAATAGAATTTTAAAAATAAACAAAATTGAATTAGTTACAATCGTTGTAGCAGATGGTATATATGATGATGTCGTTTTCAATAGCAACTGGCAGAATTAGTTAAAGTAAAAAGCTGAACATACTGATACATCTACACATATTAAAATAGTATTGTTATTGGCATCATTATTATTGTTATAATAATATGTTAACAATTAACTTTAGTTCACGTGAGTCATAATAGGGATTCGTTTAGTTCTGTTTGTCTATTGTGTAATAATAAATCATTTAGGGTTTAAAATCAGTTCAAACCTTATTACTATTTAAAAGTGCTCAAAAACATTCTCATAATTGTCCAAAATCTTCAGGAAAGTAAGTTCCTTACATTTTGAATATACACTATGTATACACTAGATAACGACGAAGCAAAAGCAAAAGCTCTCTTTTAAATTGTTTTCAAGTATAATAAAATTTATTAAATGAAATATTTAATCGTCTATCACGTTTCACTAATCGACAGCGATCTACCCTTAATCTCATCATTATCACTGCATGATTTATAAATATTAACTTATATATTTTATATAAGTTTATATTAATATTATCGTTAACTCTTTCTATCTTCTGTTTTTAACTATATACTAAAGAATTTTTAATTATAACTTTAAGTTCACTATTAAAGACTTTATCTTATTATTTTCAGTATATAAGCATATATATATATATATATCAAGTTTTTAATAATAGAATTAAATTATTTACAATTGAAATAAAATAAATAATGAAAAAAAGAACTCACCTTAACAGTAGAATTTTTGATTGGCTTGTCTTGATCTGGTACATATTCCAATGTTATACCATAAAATTGACCTTTGTTTATATATGTTATTCTGTCATCTTCTCTACGTTGTGAAGAACTTATTGGACTCTCAAGATGATATTTAAAACCAACATTTGAGAAGCTATTGAGAGAATAGTAAAAAAAATATATGTAGAATGTTAATGTAACATATTAATTATATATTTATTTTATAAAAAAGTTAATTAATTAATTTTTTTAATAAATTATATTATTTACTTAAATAAATGTGGCCAACATACACTACAAGTGCTATAAGGAAAGCAGTAAAAATCTCAGTAAACGCACTTACTATATGATAACTTCACTAAACTTTACTGAAATATATGTCTACAGTAAAATGAACAAAAGTTAAAGTGTCAGTTCACAGTATCAAAAAAGGAAAGAAAATATAAAAGTTTCAGCTCACAACTACTTTTTCTGGATTCACAAAAGTTTTTAAATAATTTTTGACTTGATAAATTAAAAACTGAAATACAAATTTTCATATTAATAGACATATGGATAGATGTCTACCCGTGATTCGATGAGCTAATTCGTCTGTATTTATAAAAAATTTTAATTTCTTTTTTTTTGGGGTCTAATATTTCTTTAGACCCTTCTTTATAATCATTTTCACAAGCTAAATATCATAAAGATTTTAAATCAAACTTCTTGGCAGTGCCAGGTTTGTTAAATATGAAGAATATCCTGAAATGGAAGTCTGGCATAAATTAAATGGAAGTATTGGATATATCACATCAGCAATATAATTTTCTATAAATTTTACATATCCATTTAAATAAAAATCATTAGTAAGTATTTCTTTTCATAGAAGTTAAGTATATCTGATCATATTGTACTGCCTTAGCAGATCACTGGTTAGCAACCCTCATCATTCCTACTGAGGTCCAGGTTTGACTACCAACTAGAACGCATAATGTCAATTAAGATAGAATTTGTCTATAAGGCTAAGCACACTTAGGTTCATATATTTCTCCAAATGATAATATAAACTTTCGTTTGATTTGTTTAAAAAATTTTACTTACATTTTTGGTATTTGTATTTTGTCCGCATCATTCTGGCGACCAAAGTCATGCCAAGGCCTTGAACGTGTGGCTCCATTTGCGCCAGTGCTGCCAAGTGAGGTGGTTGGACTGTTTTGACCACCGTGCACAACACTGACAGCACCACGTTGCTGTAAACTGTTGACTGAAACTGGAATAGCGCCATTGCTATCGATCAGAGCGCCCGGCTGACACAATTCAGTATAATCGAATGACTGTAAGAATAACAAAAGTTGGGATTAAAAAATCTGTCAGATATCCACAAAATGTTAAAGGAATGTATGTGTACGAGGAATATTATTGTTACATATATATAAATATAGTACTGAATCCTTGTGGACGGAACACGCATTTGAGTTTTGCCAACAAAAAAAAATATTTTTTTTTTAATATAATAAATTACATGCAAAATAAGCTAATATAGATGAAAATAATAAAATATTTTAAAATAAAAATAAAAATCGTATTTAATAAAAAATTATTACAACAACATTACAAGTTGTTGCTGTTGGTGTGTTGTAGTTGTTGTTCTATAATACAAAATGTCTGGTTATGGAAACTGTTTTACTGTACATGTGTATGGATGTAGGCACCATATTGTTTTTACTTACAGGCCTAAGCTTTGTGTAAATGGAATTTGAATGTAAATGATTACGGAAACAATTTATTAGAATACATTAAATTTTTGTTATTGTATTTTAGTCTGATAACCACGCACCTGTTGAATGTTATTCTGATCCCGCGGAGTTATGGCATCAGCACCGATACCTGAATCGGGGCTTGGCAAATCGACAGTTAGACCGGCAGCAGTTACAGTTTTAGCATAGATTGGAGCACAGTTTTTGGAGGTGTGCACAACAGCAGCGCTACTTGTGGTGGTTGAAGTACTGAAACGTCCTTCGTATGTGGTTCCCGGTTGTGGTCCATCATTATCGGTATAAACAGCACGCGCTGGTGCATAACCGCTTTGTACGTCCGAAGTGAAGTATTCGCGATAATATGGCTCAGATATGAATGTTGAAGTTGGTCCAGCAGTTAGACGTGTTGTGTACATGCCATAGCCATCAGAACTGATGTATGGGCCAGGACTGGGCGTTTGTGCATTAACGGCATTGGCAGCGCCTGCAGAGCTAGTTTGATGTGGACCCTGATTTGCATGTTGGTATGATGTGGAGCCATTATAGAATAAATAAATTGTCAAGAGTGCAAAACGTTTTTTGGTAGTCAGAACGGATAGTTTGCACAGTAGCAGTATCAGTAGCAGGTTTCAATAGAAGAAAAAGAGAAAAGTATGAATGAATAAATGTTTGTGTGCAGTTTGAAGTGTATTCATGATGTGTGTGTGTACATTTTGAACGAATGAACGTGTGAAATATCAAACAAATAACAAGAATTTTATTTTATTTTATTTTTTTTGTTTTTTAATCGAACTCTTTGATAATCGGATTATGTAAAAAATGCCAGTTGTAGGTGTGGAATGACAACTCTAGTTGTTGTTGTTGTTGTTAACATCTTCTACTACGCTTTTTTATACTTCACGACTGTAACAACAGTAAGAACAGCAGTAGCGTATATATTCGAATTGACTGGCTACTATAAGTTTGTCTGCTTGGTGTGTTGTCGAAGTAACCGAAGTAACCGAAGTAACGATTCCGGTTTCATTTCAGCTCACCAGCGATTCTTGGCTCACCAAGCGGCCTACTACGGCCACGATCCGCCGATCTACCGACCGGCGCTAATTGCTAATAAGTGCGTGCGTGGTGGTCAAGTGTATATCAGGAACAAAATGTTTCAAATAAAACAAAAGCTTTGTTTTTATTATTGAAGTGTAACTAAACTAGTTTCGAACTGGTGGCTGTAGGTTGCTGGTTGCTCGAAGCGATTTAGATGACGATTGCCGCGATAAAAGTGAAATTATATGCTAATGACAACGTCATAAGTCAGGCAAATGGCACCACATTCGCAGTTGCTGCTTGCTTTCCAAAGATTTTTTCTTCTGGTTTCTTGTTTTGTTTTTTTTTTTGTCACGACGTAACGTTTATTATTATCTTCTTTGGACATGGTGGAGCTTGTGCCCAATTGTCTTCCTTGGCTTGGCTTTTACATTTCGCTTTTCGGTTATTTGTATGAATTTGGTACGTGTGTTCAAGTAGGAATCACACTTTGGGTTGTTGGACTCACCTGTAGATAGATTTGTGTGCCGCCGCCAGCAGCGTACATTGTATCGGTTGTTGGGCTTCCAGGACTGGGTGGTGGCTCTTTAATATGTATTTGTGTTGGTGGTGGCGACTGCTCGACTAAAACCTATAGAATTAAATTAAATTTGAGTACAAACTGTTGCGAACTAAGACTATTTTTTTTTGTGTTTTTGTGATGGTGTATCTGCAGTATTTATGTAAAAAAAACAAGAACTGCTTTTAAAACAATAACAACAAACGCACTGCAACTTACAGTGGTGGCTAATGGAATCTGCACAACTTAGTGGACTGCAATTTTCAAAAAGAAACCACAGCTTTAACAAAAAATACCAATAGCTAATAAACAATAAATTTAGATAAAAAAAAATAATACTAAAATTGTCTAAAATTAAACGGCGATTTCATGATGTCATAAAATTTATGACCGCTCTGCTGACGCAAATAACCAATTTTTTTTGCATAAATTTCCATAAAAATTGAAGCTTGTATTTATGGAAATATTTTTATATTTAAAAAAAGATCGTTTTTAATATGCGCTTATTGTATATTTCAAAAAACTATGAAAAACATGAGCTAAAAATAATATTCAATAAAAAATAAAATAAAAAATAAAAAAATTATATTGAAATATAAGCGAAACTATTGACAAAAATGCTTATTTGACAAGAAACAAATATACTACACTAGTCAACACATTTAGTAAATAATTTAAATTTTATTAAAAAAATTTAAATAATTTAAATTTAGATTTTAAATTAAAAAATTGTTTTTATTTATAAATTATATTTTACTAAATTTGAATTGAGATTGTGAATTCAAAACATTTCTCATTATTAAATTTAATTTAATTTAATAATTAAGCTACTTCGGTTATATATTAAATACTGAACTCTAATGATTTAATGGAATAATGGGTAAGTACTAATTTTAAAAAAATATTGTATTATATAATTTCTAATATATAATATATAATTTTTTATTATTCTTTTTTAAAAATTATTTTGAAAACTTTTTTAGGTATAAATATTGAATTTATGATTGAGACAATTGTTAAATTAATATATAATTTGTTAATTATTTTTGAAAATTATTATTTTAAAGATTTTTATTATTATATTAATACATATTATTATTAGAAATATATTTAAAAATTTTTATAATTTTTTTTTATAATATGTGAAATTATAAATTTGTTATTATTAGAAATGTATATGAAATTAATGATTAAATTAATTGTTCCATATGCCATCAATTTATATATTGCAAAATTGTCAAAATTACTTTAAATTAATATATAATTTCTTTTTTTTTTAATAATAATAATTTTGAAAATTTTTTTTGGTAATATGTATTTGAATCACGAATAAGAGAATTGTTCTATCTGCTATAAATTAATAAATTTGTTAATTTTGCTTAATAATAATTATTCTGAAAATATTATTATTCTGAAACATATCAAAAACCTATCGGAAATAGGTACTTCAGACATATACAAATATATAGAATTGAGTCATTTATTACATTTGCTATAAATACTTGGATATAATTCGTTAATATTTTTTTAATTATTATTTTTAAAATTTCAATTAGGTTAGTATATATAATAATTATTAATATTATTTGAAATAAATTCTCGGTTGATTCTTTTGTTATATTTACTATTAATTAATATATAATTTATAATTATTTTTTAATAATAATCATTTTAAAAATTAATATATTAATAAATATTGTTAGTCTCATTAGATATATATATATAAAATACATGGTTCAATAAATTGTTACATATACAATTAATTAATATATGTAGATTTGTTAACTTTTTTCAATGATTATTACTTTAAATATTATTAAAAATATATCTGGTGAAATATATAAATATAAAAAATATAAATCGGTTTAAATATCTGTTGCGATATTATTATGATTTTTTTGTTTAATTACAGTAAAAAAAATTATAAAATACATTTATAATATATACATACATATATAATATAATAAAAAATATGCGGCCCTATGCTCAGAAAGGACTTAGAAAAATATTGATAATACTAAAAAATTGTATTAAATCATTTGAAACAAATTTATAATTAATAAATAAAATTTAAGAAAATTTAAAAAAATTTATAAAAAATTTATTATTTGAAATTTTTATTTTTTGATAAGTTTTATATTATATAAAAAACTTTAATATGTACATATGTCTATATACTTATTAATATATATATAAATATATATACTTTAAAACTTTAAAATGTATATGTAAGTATATATTCTTAATTATGTATATATATATATATATTTTATTGTTTTATATATAGGATGTAAATAAGTATATATATAGATATATATATTTATATATATATATATAAGTTTTATATTATATACATAATTACTTGTTAATAAATATTTGTTTATATCAAATTTCTTATTTTTAATTAATTATTTATAACTTAATTTTTTTATATTTAGTTTTTATTTATTTTTGTTTATTACACAATGTCTTGACGCTTCTATCGATACTTCAAATTAATTATTTCAGTATTTAAAATTGACATTTAAGCCTGGATTTAATTAGTAATCGCAACCACAATAAAAAAAATAGAAGTAGCTCGAAGGTGTTGGCTCTATGCAGCTATGAATGTGTTAATGGTAGATAAATTTTTATGATTTTATCACAAATTGAAATCATTTGATGAATGATGCCAACCAACAACTTACAGGGCCGACAAACACACTGGTTTTCTAGGGCAGTCGTAAAAGTACTTGTAAGATTGTGTGAGCGCGCGTCTTGCCAATGCGGAAGAGTATCATATCAATGCCTCTCGGACGGACCACTTGATTAAAATTACGCAGCAACTATGATAAATTGTGATTTCATTGTTTGGCATTAAAACTTTTAATGGTTTAAGATATAAAATTTGTTCATGATTTTTTAAATGTTTTTTTTTTCTTATTTTTGTATAACTTTTTTATTTAATTTTTTATTATTGGTTTTTTATGTTTCTTCGGATTTGAGCTTGAGTCGCAACTTAAAAAACTTTTTGTTGTTCAAAGAACAGGGATTTTGTCAATTGGGCGCATGATTGATTATAAAATAATTTAAACAATTTAACAACACTAACAAAATAAAAACAAAAACAAATAAACTTAACAGTAGCAATTTATAAAATAGAAAAAAATTAAATAAATATACTATATTTTATATATAGGTAACATAATTTTGTAGTTCACTTTTGATTTTAGCAAAAATTTATTATTGTTTTTAAATTCTTTTTTATTTTTATTTTACAATTATTCATTAATAACACATTTAATTGCTATTTTATTGTAGTTTTTTTTTCTCGAGAAAAAAAGAACAAAAACGTTTAAATTTATTGTTATTGAATTTTATTGTGTTATTTATTTATTTAGTTTATTATTAGACACAATAAAATCACAAGCAATAAATAATTTAAAGATATAAAAATAAATAAATTTGAATCAACAAAATTACGCATACTAATGGATTTTATCTGCACGAGCCATTAAAAAAATTTATCTCCACTGTGCTTTAATCTGCATGCAGCAAAATTTTAGGTATTTTGTTCGAAAGATACTTTTTTCTCGAAAATGTCAAAAGTGAAGTTAATTTTTTTTCGTTTAATCTTAAGTTTTATGTTAACCTAAAATTGTTAAATTAGTAAATTTTATTTTATTTGAAAAACACACAAATCCGTGGGCGTCGCTTTGAATTAAGTTTTGTTATTTTTGTGGCTGAAATTGTCGAAATTTTTTAAATGGCCGTAAAGTTTATTCGAAATCGAAGGAAAAATTTATCTTCATGCGCAACATGCAGTTTGTTTCATGTACCAAAATTTATTTATTTAATTTTTCAAATTTGTTATTTTTTTTATTTCCAATACTTTATTGTTGGTTTAACATAAAACAACAAACAAATGTAAACTTTGCAATTAAACAAAAAATTTTATGTTTTTAATTTAATTAGCACTTGTCAGCGTTGCTTTTGATGTCGTGGAATTGTGATGCAAATATTTGTATCTTCATTTAGTATACATTATTTGTAAATAAAAATAATATATATATATTTGTAATATACATTTCACAAATTTGTGTAATACAAAAAATTATATATTTATTAATTTTTTAGCAAAGAATTATTATGTGTTGTTTTGTCTTATCGTAAAATTAATAAATATTTTAATAAATTATTGTAAAGCTTCAATTGGCTTTTAAAAATACAATTAATTAATAAATTATAATGTATGTTACCTTTAAATTGATATTTGTTATCTATATATTATTGTATATATATTATTGTAATATACATCAGTAAAATGTTATCGAGCATAGACCTTGGCTTTACATATATAATTCACGATATGATATAATATACTACATGATAAATAATTTGAAAACCTATATGACTACCACAAATAAGTGTTTAAATTATCATATGTTTATATTTATAATTATATATATTTATAATTATATATATTTATAATTTATATTTTTAATTGATATACATAATATATAATATCAACTATAAAAATGTAAAAGGAAGTAAAAATTAAAAATGAAAATAAATTAGAAAAATGTTAGTTCATTAAAATAAAATTTAAATTTGAAACTAGTTTATTCCTTAATTAAACTTTAAAATAAGTCAAAAAATTTACTTCAAAATTTATAAAAAAATGAAAAAATAAAATAAATATATTATATAACATAACATACATAACAGTACAGAGATTACTATATAAAAAACACCAAGTATTAAGTAATAAATTTAATTCTTTAGCAGACTGAACTAAATAAAATTTAATAATATAAATTAAAATAATATAAAATGAAATAATATAAAATAAGGTAATATAAAATAAAATAACATAAAATATAACAATTTGAAATATAATAATATACAATAAAAAAATATGAAATATAACAATTTAAAATATAATAATATAAAATATAATAATATAAAATAAAATTAATAAATTGTATTAGAAATAAAAATTAAATGTTATTTAAATACAAAACGTCTTAATACAACTAAAACTTTAAAATGAAGAAAATAAATAAGTAAATAAAAATAAATAAATAAATAAA